CTTTTTTTGATGAAAAAATGCTTCCGGTGAGCTTTTCCGGGTAGAAAGCTCACCGGAAGCACTTTTTCATCAAAAAAAGATGGCGGCGCCCAGCTAATGCCGGTACCGGGCCGCACCATAAAAAAGGTTGGGGATACCGGGCCGCGGCGTAAAAAAGGTTGGGGATCACTGTTTTAGAGGATAAACTCACATCTTGTCTGCAGCTCTTTAAAATGGCTGCATCTTTTATCAGGCTGATGTGGCTGCCGCAGCAGGCAACCTTAAGATCCGGACAAAAGCCAACGCTGCTTTAAAGAGCTCTAGATAGCCACTACATTGGCACTTCCTGCACACTTCATTCTTTCCCAAAGTGCCGCACAGCCCGGCCTTCTCCTGTACAGCCAAGAAAAGTGGCAGAATTTAGCAATTTTCAGCATCAATTCACACAGGTAAAATATTCAACGGTTTTAGTCATTTTAAGCGGCCCCTTTGAAACACTGAATTTTCCACAGCTTGCAGTCTCAAGAGTCATTTATTTGAAGGAAAGGATTGCAGGACATTCGGCTCCTTTCAAACACTGGGTCAAATATTTCTCCTATTATCCTTCCAATTTTTATAAAGCAGTGCTCCTATTCCCCGTCACCCCAAATCTATCTCTGTGTGCCAAACTGAATAAACTCAATCGCTAAGCAGTTTTTTTTTTACAGCTGCAGAAGGAAGTAAATATGATTGAATTTTAAGCGGCATTTATTTCACAGGTGGGAGGAACAGTGCTGTTCTAACATTGGTCAGGAGGTTAAAAACCAAGCAAAATAATTTGTGAAAAGATATTTAAAGGAGGCTCCTCTTTCCCACTCATTGCCAATCTCCCATATCATCTTTATTCTGTATGTCATATTTTTTTTTGTTCTTTTTGTTCTTTTGATCTTTTTTGTTCCTTAAACTTGGCAGCCTGGCATAGGACTGTAGTTTTTGGTTTTTGTTTTGAAAATAACAACCCACAAGCTCATATTGTGTATTAATGCTATACTAAGTGCTTTCCCCTTTTTCTTTCCTGTAGCACGTTGTCAATTCTCTTTAAGGTACATAACATGGACCATTAATTTTGAAATGTGCATGCCTGCAAATTTCTGTCAAAAACAATTTATCTGAAAAGAAGTCTTAAGAAGTGTGTGTTTCTGTGTGTGCTTTTGGGGGAGGTTGAGAAGAACAGTGAAATTTCGGAGAAAACTACACTCGTGTAATAGCACTTTTGAAATCATGAATTGTGAACTGCTCTTCATCTTTTTAGATTTGCAGAGTGAGAAGTGGTCGTTTTAGTGCCTTCCAAAATGAAGCATTTTTAAAAAAAAAATCAATGCCACAATATTAATTTAGACATTTCAGTTACACCCAGTGTGAAAAGGTACCAAGGCTGCAAAGATTGTGTTGGAAGCCCACAGCAAAACCTCAAAGGCTTTTGCAGATATGCTTAGAGAAGACAGGAAGAAAATCAACTAGCAAAGGCTGACTTCCCCAAAAAATCCAAAATATATTTCGTTTACATTATTTTGTGTTTTTCCCCCAAAAGCTGATTGCTGTTAATATCTCACCTCATGTCGAGTTCTTCCAACCCATCTGCCCGTGTTGATAGGAAAAAAACAACAACAATCCCATCTCTTGGCTTTACAAACAGATAGATTAAAAATTAGCATACAATATTAATGGAGTCCATGTGATGTTCTCTGGCTTCTAACATGCTCCCAGGAAAATAATAAGTGGGGCTGTACAATAGTTACAAGTATCCTTCTAAGGAAATCTCAGCTGGGAAGGACTCGTTTTTAGCGCAGGGGCTGGTAAGGTAGGTTTGCATTTCCTTTTTGGGGTTTCAGTCCGAATCCCTCGTGAAAAGCTGGATATCTTGCGGGTTCCAGTAAAGAGCCACGGCCGAGTTGTAGACAAGAGACCAAACATACGGGATGAAGAACTCTTCGGGCTGTTCCTCCTCCACGTACTTGAACTTCAGCTCTGGGAATTTCTGGAAAGGAGAAAGAAAGAGTGTCAAGAAGAGGGGAAGAGGTGAAGGCCTCAAGGAGCGGAGAAGTTGAAGAGCTTCTACCTAGGAAGTCATGTTTGGGGACAGGAACACAAGCCTTGATGGATTCCTCTTTGACGGGGTGTCAAACTCAAGGCCCGGGGGCTGGGCCTGCGGGGCCACCTTGGAAACTGTGAAGATCTGGCCCGCAGTGCTTCTGCAGTGAAAATGGGCTCCCGAGCTCCGTTTTCAGCTGCCATGGCCTCCTGCAACCCTCTGCCAGTTAAAATGGAGCTTGGAAGCCCATTTTCGCTGGCAGAAGCATCGCGGGCTGGCCCTTTGCTGTTTCCCAGGTAGCCCCGTGGGCCAGATTTAAGTACCTTGCATGCGGCCCTCCTGAGCTCTGTTTTCACTGGCAGAGGGTTGCAGGAGGTCGTGGCAGCTGAAAACGGAGCTTGGGAGCCCATTTTCACTGGCGGATTGCTCGGGTGACTAGAGGCGCCCCCAACAGGAGTGACTTCAAGCTGGCCACGCCCCCCACCCCCCCGAGGTCACACACAACCCTGATGCGGCCCTCAATGAAATCCAGTTTGACACCCCTGCTCTTTAGGAAGGAAATCACAGAAGACAGGATCACACAGCTGGAAGGGACCTTGGAGGTCTTCAGGACCAACCCACTTCTCTAGGCAGGAGACCTTAAAACAGACAGTCCTGACTTACAACAGTTCATTTAGTGACCATTCAAGTTTGCAATGGCACTGAAAAAAACTTGGGACCGTTTTCCACTCTTATGACCATTTCAGCATCCCCATGGTCACGTGATCAAACTTTGGATGCTTGGCAACTAACTTGTAGTTATGACGGTTGCAGTTCCCGGGGTCACATGGTCCCCCTTTTGAGACCTTCCGACAAGCAAAGTCAATGGGGAAGCTGGATTCACTTAATGACTGCACGATTCACGGGAACTGCTGGAGTGATTCGCTTAACAACTGCTGCAAAAAAGGCCATAAAATAAGGCAAATTCAGTGAACAACTGCACTCCATTGTGTTCATAAATAGAGGACTACCACATAAAATCATGCTTCTGCTAGGAGGTTGCCTAAATCCATTGTTGTAAAAGACGCTTAGAACTGGATCACACCTGCGATAGGTGTGTGAAGAGATGACTAGATCACGCAGGGTTCTCTCTGCATAGGGTTCATGTCCAGGCAGATGTGTTTCTTTGCCATTGGCCCCATTTAGTGACGGACACAAAAGGATAATCAGCAGCCAGAAAAATAAATAGAGAAAAAGAAGATTGATCACAAATTTCTCTCTCTCTTTCCCCTTAATTTTATCTGTGTTTTTTTTTATAAAAAGATTGCTGGATGGATTTGATTCTGGGCATATTGTTTGGGCTCATGCTAAATCCTAAATTTGGATTGACAAATCTCAACGAACAAGGTATCTTCTAATAAATAATATACAGAACATGTGCTGGAACCCATGCACTGACGATGTGCTTGAAATCAAAGCTACTCAGCTCAATGTTAACTTGGTTAACATTGTAAAAATTGACCAATGAGCATTTTTGTGTTAAATATGCATTCCAGATCTTGTCCCAAAGGTGCTTTTTCAAGAGGCAACTTTGGACTTTCTGGTTTTTCTTTGGAGAGGTTTCACTTCTCATACCAAGAAGCTTCTCACCCAGAGCTGAAGGAGCTTCTTGGATGAAAAGCAAAATGTCTTTAAAGAAAAACCATAAAGTCCAGCTGCCTCTTGAAAAAAAACACCTCTGGGGCAACCATGACCCCTGGAGGACTGACCATCTCCATAGACAGGCATTCCAGATCTATCCAAACAAGGGGGGGAAAAAACTTTGTTGTGATACTAAATACTGGAGGATTCTAGATTCACTTTCTGAGATGAAATGCACCGGGCAGAGAGGCTCACTGATTTTATCAGATATTTTCCAAGATTGGAATGTATTTTAGAGGCAGGAGGGTCTGGTTGCTTGTGACAAGAGTAATTACCAACAATTATGAATTATAAGAATTGTAATGGAAAGATTAATATCAGTTGCTATAATTAATTGAATAGATTAATATTTTTGTAATATATAGATGAATTATAAGGCGATTGAGAAAAAGAATACCATGTGGAATCTGACTTAAAATATATGCTGATGTGATATGTAGTAGATAGGAGAATATAGTTATTAATGTAGAATGAGATAATTATAATGAATTAAAGGAAATAAATGAAGGGAAAATACAAGATAAATAGGTGGTAAGCTTGAATTGATAACTAAAGGGGACAAATATTTTTTTAATTAATAGAATAAGGATGAAATTATTGAATAATAAATGGAATAACTGTGATAAAATTGCAAATGGGACAGATAAAAGTAATATGTGTAGTGAATATAGAAATGAAATAAGAATCTTAGATAATACTGTAAAGCAAGATATGAGAATATTTTAAGAAAAATGAAATAATCTAAGTTATGAACTGAAATTGGATAAAATAAACTTAATGAATATAATATTTGAGAATATTTAAAAGAAAATAGAATAAGTAATAATGTGATATGAAATTGATAAAAGAAAGATGAATATGTAAATATGGTCATATTTGTACCGAAATGTAAAAACCTGGAACCACACTGCCCCCCAAAAGAGATGGGTTTTCCCCCAAAAAAATATAAAAACAAAAGAAGAAATTGAATAATGAAATTATCATGTATGTTTAAATAATATGGTGATTGGCATTAGAAGAATGTATTGGAATATTGAATAATGAAGGTTTATAATTTAATACAAATATGTGTATTAACATTAGAATTACATGTTTGATGAATGTAAGAGATAGGATTAATGCTGTCATTTTTGTTTGCACCAAAATGTATGATGCTTAGGTGCCACACTCACTGTCTATGTATTGATGTCTATAAGCAAAATAAATAAAAAACTAAATAAAAAAAGAATAATTACCAGCAATCAAAAATGCACATTTTTGTCTCTACAAGAGTGTAGACCAGGGGTCTCCAAACTTGGCAACTTTAAGACTTGTGGACTTCAACTCCCAGAATTCTCCAGCCAGCATAGCTGGGAGTTGAAGTCCACAAGTCTTAAAGTTGCCAAGTTTGGAGACCTCTGGTGTAGAGCTTGTGTGGGCAAATGATAGGTAGTCCTCGGTTTGTGTCCACAATTGAGCCCAAAAATTCCATTGCTAAAGTGAGACATTGGTTAAACGGGCTTTGCCCCATTTTACAACGTTTCTGGCTACAGCTGTTAAGTGGATTGCTGCCGTTAAGTTAGTAACGCCGTTGTTTAAATGAATCTCTCTTTCCCCATTGACTTTGCTGGTCAGGAGGTCGCAAAAGGAGATCACATGACCCTGGGATATTACAACCGTCATAAATATGTGTCAGTTGGCAAGTACCTGAATTTTGATCACGTGACCGTGAGGGACGCAGCAATGGTTGCAAGTGTGAGAAACGGTCATAAGTCACTTTTTTAAACTTTGAACGGCCATTAAACAAATGATTGTAAGTTAGGACTATTTATACAGCGGGGGTATCAAAACTCAATTTCATTGAGGGGCGCATCAGGGTTGCATTTGACCTCGTGGGGGTGGGGGGCGTGGCCAAGGTGGGTGTGGCCAGCTCAATATCACTTGTGACGGGGGCACCTGCTCTCTCTCCACTTGGGCTGGTCCTTTGCTGTTTCCAGGGCGGACCCATGGGCCAGATCCACACACCCTGTGGGCCGAATCTGGCTTGTGGGCCTTGAGTTTGACACCCCTGCTGTACAGGATTAAAGCTCATTATTAAGATTTTTCTTGCACAAGAGAAATTGGCAAAAGCAGCTGTCTCTTCACGAAAACAATATAGATCTCACACTTCAAAGAAACAATCCCTGTAGCCTGATTCTTTCTGAACTGAAACTCTTTCTTAGAGCTGCTTGTCGTGCGTGAGAGTCACAAGCACTTTTGGGTCCAGCCAAACTAGGCCATTTTTAAGTCCCAGACCTTTTGTGATGTTATTACTTCTTTAATCAACCACAGAGATTTCCCCTGTCTCAGATGTCTGACTTGGTGGTTGGGACAGGAGCGTGTAGCCAGACAGGTCCAAAGTTTACCAGACTGTCTGAGCCACCGAGATTGTGATCGGATGCACAACCACAGGAAGTTCTAGCAAAGAGATGCAACAGAGAGAGAGAGAGAGAGAGAGAGAGAGAGAGACGTTGCTTTCCTGCTTTAGTGCATCTAAAAAGTATGAAAACAAAAAAGATAAAATCTCTAAATTAGCAAGGGGGGAAAAAAAAATCAAAGACGGCGTCGCTCAAAAAAGTTTTAATACAGACTCCTGTAACCTGGCGCCTTCCAGATACGTTGGAAATGACTTCAGCCCTCGAGAAACCTGGGAGCTGCTGTGCCATCCACGTTTTACAGTGGTCCTGGGTTGGGAAAGCCAACAACAATAGATACAAACTCAGAGTAAACCGCACCAAACTTGATTGCAGGAAATACGACTTCAGCAACAGAGTGGTCAACGCCTGGAATACTCTACCTGACTCTGTGGTTTCTTCCCCAAACCCCAAAAACTTCAATGTTAGACTGTCTACTGTTGACCTCACCCCTTTCCTAAGAGGTCTGTAGGGGGCGTGCATAACAGAGGTGGTATTCATTCGGTTCTGACCAGTTCTGGAGAACCGGTAGAGGAAATTTTGAGTAGTTCGGAGAACTGGCAAATACCACCTCCGACTGGCCCTGGCCCCATCTATTCTCTGCCTCCCGAGTCCCAGCTGATCGGCTGGGTCTTCTTTGGTTGCCCTGCACAGGAGAACAGAGCTGGAAAGCAGGTTAGTGGGGTGGGGTGAGGAGGGAATGGAGATTTTGCAGTATCCTTCCCCTGCCACGCCCACCAAGCCAGGCCCACAGAACCGGTAGCAAAAAAATTTGAATTCCATCCAACGTGCCTACCATCCCTGTCCTAATGTTCCCTTTTATTTGTATCCATT